CCACTCCACCTCCCCCAATGCTGGGCCCTGACGCTGTCCAACGCCGTCCGCAGCTCAGTCCTCCTTCCCCAGTCTGCTCTGTAAAATGGGAACAACACTCCTTTATAAGGACATTGTGATGATTACATGAAACACTGCTTGCAAGCATCTAGCACTTGACAGCTATTATTGTTATTACCTCTTACCAGAGTTTTCGTGGATCCGCTATATATAGGTAATTTCTAAGATATGATCTATGTCTGGGCCCTGACGCTGTCCAACGCTGTCCGCAGCTCAGTCCTCCTTCCCCAGTCTGCTCTGTAAAATGGGAACAACACTCCTTTATAAGGACATTGTGATGATTACATGAAACACTGCTTGCAAGCATCTAGCACTTGACAGCTATTATTGTTATTACCTCTTACCAGAGTTTTCGTGGATCCGCTATATATAGGTAATTTCTAAGATGTGATCTATGTCCTTAGCATATAATTAGAGCATAGCAAAGTTTACTACAACTAAAAACATAACAAAGGTCAAACAATCTGGGCCCCAATTTGCCACATAATTTGATATAAATGATCTGAACGCATTATTGGACTTTTTGCCTGAATTTTTCTATTATTTAATGTACTTTTATATAATTTGTCAGACTAATACGGGCTCCTTTCTGTGGGGAAAAATAATTATTTCCATTATTCATTTCCACTATTAAATACCTAAAGCAACCTTTTTAAAAATTTTTCAATATGCTTATTATAATACTGAGTGGAAGACCATTCGATGATATTTACTTGGAAAATAAACAGTTGCTATGCTTGACTTACAAAGGGACAATGCAGCATTGCTAGGAATGATTCAGAGACAATTTCAATCTTCATACATATTTTACAAAACAGCTGGGAAGAAGGGATCTCATTTAACAGCTGAGCAGACGGTGCTGTTTGAATTGTTCCATGACTGATGAGCTTTTCTGAAATTTGGAAGTGATTGGTCTAACACAGCCAGGGGTGCATTACTTCACTCCAGGAGGCTGCTTCCTGAGGGCACCGTGGCCTTGTCACACTGAGTGCTCAACACAAGTTAGTTTAGCCACAGAATGTGCTGTCCTCGGGGTTCCCCTCAATAAGGCGGCAGTTCTCACACCAGCGGCATTCATTCCGGCCCAGCCGAGGAACTGGAGCAACCAACCCCCTTAGCTGAACCTCGTTTTCGTCTAGAAAATAGATGTCAATGCCAGTTACTAGGGGTAACGTGGTAATGTGTGTGAAGGCCTACATAGACCAGATATATATTGCTACTAGCATTTGTCGCTTTATACTATTATTTTTTTTTAAATGTATTTTTATTGACTTCTGAGAGGAAGGGAGAGAGAGATAGAAACATCAATGATGAGAGAGAATCATTGATCAGCTGCCTCCTGCACAACCCTGTCATGTGCCCTGACCAGGTATCGAGCCATGACCTCCTGGTTCATAGGTCAACACTCAATCACTGAGCCACACTGGCTGGGCAGTCACTTTTTTATTGTTATTCATAGTCACTCTGTTAAAAACTGGGGATTTCCTAATATTTTTTCCTAATTTTTTAAAATATATTTTATTGGTTTTTTTACACAGAGGAAGGGAGAGGGAGTGGGATAGAGAGTTAGAAACATCGATGAGAGAGAAACATCGATTCAGCTGCTTCCTGCACACTCCCCACAGGGGATGCACCTGCAACCAAGGTGTATGCCCTTGATCGGAATCGAACCTGGAACCCTTCAGTCCACAGGCCGACGCTCCATTCTCTGAGCCAAACCGGTCAGGGCTTACCAAGTTCTTTTTCTTTGGTTACTTAAAATAAACCCGAGATTTTGTGTAAACCATATGTATCATATTCTAAAAGGTAGGATGTAACACAGTGTTTCTCAGTGTCTGACAGACAGAAAGACTTCCATGTCATAACAGAAAATCCCGACCTCAGTTTCTGTTCCTGTATGTTTGTATGTTTCCACCCACAGGTGGACTTCAGACCCATCTTCAAACCTGTCACCATGGACTATCTTTTGCATTAAATTTTTTTAAAAAATTGCAGATTTAGCTCTAGCTGGTTTGGCTCAGTGGGTAGAGTGTCGGCCCGTGGACTGAGGATCCTGGGTTTGATTCCGGTCAAAGGCATGTACCTCGGTTGCAGTCTCGATCCCTGGCCCCTGTCGGGGCATGTGCGGGAGGCAACCAATGGATGTGTCTCTTGCACATCGATGTTTCTATCTCTCCCCCTTCCTTCTAAAATGCAGATTTACAAAGCCAGGTGTGTTAGTTGGTATTACTGTTCACGCCCCCTTCATGGCTTATTCTGTGCATAACGCCTGAGCATTTTTTGCTTTGGGTATGCTCACTTATTTCAGTGTTCGTGTTTGACAGAACTCTATAAAATATTAAGTAGGGATGTGACAGACTGAGACTGTTAATGAAGCCTCCACAGCGGGAAATTCTGCCTCCACGTCCGAGTGGGAAGCAGTAGCCGGAGTGCTTAATGTCTGAGGCATCTGCAGTCTCAGCCTCACTGCGGCCATTTAATATTGACGGCCTGTTGCTGAGCACTGGCAGTCGGCTCCGCGGCCTCCCTTAAATCAGGCGTTTTGTAAAGCCCTGCTGGCGTCAGAAACCAGGGGCCCGGCGTCCCTGCCACGGAGGACTGCAGTGACTCCTGATTTCGTTTCTGCACACGGGACAGCGTGACAGCCCACCAGGCAGAGCAGCCGCTGCAGAGGGGGTGCTGCGCGGGGAGTTGTACCTTTATTAACCAAGGAAGGGAGAAACAACGGAGTAGCCACATGCAAGTGCTGCTGCTTTTCTCGAGTGCTACTTGCATAGAGATAGTTCAAGTTTAAAAATATATGAAATAATACATCAAGGTCTGTTTAAAGTACAAGCTTGGCAACCTCCACGGCACCCTGCACTGTGTCGCCCATTTAAGAGAGAAGCGGCCCAGGGCAGGCCCGCGATGGGGCAGCCAGTGCAGCCCTGGGCCCAGGAGCACATTGGAGAAACCAGAGTGGGGACACCCCCAGTTAGAACCGGCGGTCCTTCCCCTTGCACGTGGCTCCTTCTGAGGGTGTGTCTAGTCTTCCTTGGAAGGTGGACTGGGACCAGGTGAACCTGCCAGTCTTCCGTGTGAATGTGTGTGACCTGCTTTCCAAAAACCCTTTCGTTATTGCTGTGCTGTGCTTCTCCTTTCTTGCAGGCAGGAAACTGGCAGACTCACTTGCGTCGGCATTCTGGTGAAAAGCCGTACATCTGCGAAGTCTGTGGCAAGAGGTCAGTGCTGGGCCGTCCTCCGCCTGTGGGCCCCCTGGTCCGGTCTCCGTGGAGAGCAGTGCTCTGAGGGCTCGCACACGAGCCGGTGGGGCTCACTCCACGGAGGAGCGCAGGCCCGTCAGACCTCTGCCTAGCCGTGTACGTCACAGATGAGTCACAAAAGGGCAAGGACAGTCATTCAGAGAAGGAACACCCAGGACAGACGTCTTAGAAATGGGATTTTATGTGACACAGAATGGTTTTACACTGAAATGTCCATTCTTTCTAAAAATGGCCATGGAAGCAGATGAGTGCCCTGGGAGGTGAGTACCTAGCGGATGTGAGACTTGCAGCCTGGCTGCCCAGCCCGGCCTCCGGCTGCGGGAACGGCAGCAGGAAGGCGGGCGGCGCTCAGCCCGGGCACTTGGTGCAGTCTCATTGCGGCGGTGAGGTGCAGTGCGGAGAGGGTCCCTCCCACGTGCACACAGCCGCACGCTGGCTGCCCGCCCCCCAGGGGTCAGGTATCAGAGTCCACATGCTCTCCTCTGACGGTCATGCTGGACAACAGGCATCAGCCCGGACCGTACCAGCACCTGCCTTCATAGCCGTTCATTTAGCCATCCATTCAGTCAGCACCTGTCAGCCACCTACTGCTGGAAGTGCTGTGATGGTAGCATGCAAACTCTCTCTGGTCTGTGAGGGAGAGACGGCCATGGCGCAGAGTCATCTATGCAGGAAGCAGGTGGTAGAAACAAAGAAGTCCAACCTTCCCAGCCTCCCGTCCTCCCTTTTGTCATTCCTCTAGGGTGGCGGGAGGGAACGCACCTAGATTTCCTATCCCAGGCCTCGGCAGGAATGACTCCCTACGCTGAGCCGGTGGTGGCCATCTCTGAAGAAGAAAGATTGATGCCGCTAGGTAGAAAAAGTGTCTTACAAACAAAACCCTGCATTATTTTCTACTTTCCTTTAAAAGCGGGGGAAAGGTAAAGATATTTTTAATGCCCATTTCCGATGAAGTCAGGAAGGCGGGGCAGCTGCCCTCCGTGCCTCACGCTCCCAGTGCCGTGACGTGGACGGGCTCTCAGCTGCGTTTCACATCCATTGCAGGTTTGCAGCCTCTGGGGATGTCCAGCGCCACATCGTCATTCACTCAGGAGAGAAGCCGCACCTGTGTGACACCTGTGGCCGAGGTATGGCTGCGCTTTCCTTTCCTTTCCCTCCTGGAGGCCCTGCCTGGCGCGCGTGGGCCTCTGCTGACCTGTCGTGGTCTCTCCAGGCTTTAGCAACTTCAGCAACTTGAAGGAGCACAAGAAGACACACACGGCTGACAGAGTGTTCACCTGTGACGAGTGCGGGAAGTCCTTCAACATGCAGAGGAAGCTGGTGAGGCACCGCGTCCGGCACACGGGGGAGCGGCCCTACAGCTGCACGGCCTGCGGTGAGTGACGCACAGACCAGGCCGCCCGTCCCGTCCCATCCCGTCCCACGTGGTAACTTTGGACGGGGCCCAGGGCCACACTCTGTCCAGAGAACTGTTTGCAGAGACAAGGATGCAGTTGTTCTAACTGCTGTCTGATGACCACTGGACTGAAAATTAAAAACTGGTTTAGAATTAGCAGCACTAAGTTAGCTCGTCTGCAGCAGTAGCAGCGCCTTCCCTCTAGGGAGTCATGTCCCCTTCCCTTTCTCATGCGCGCCTCCCGCCTTTGTCTCCCGTCAGAACACTAGGCGGGTTTCTGCCTCTCTCAGTGCTTCCTCAATTCCTAACTGATCTCAATTAAATGCCTGTTGCCTCTTGCTTTGAAAGGCCTTTTATTTTTAGGTTAAGAAAAATATTTAACACGTGGGCCTCGACAGCTAGTTTTGTTGAAAGGCAGTTTTTTATAGATAGCCCACCTTTGCTTGACCAGGGCTGGAGAGCCGAGAATTCAAATAGAGCGACATGCAGACAAGGGAGCAGTTAAACATACGTGTACATACGTGTGTAGCGTTCACTCCTCTGTAATGACGCTATGACTTCTATAAGGTTATTGATCCCCTCACCAACTCTGACTGTGGAAGCAAATCCCCACCTTGATGCTATGCGCAGGGAAAGGACATAGAACCCGGGAAATATGGGCAGAATTGTAGTGAAAGTGAACACACAGATGCCGCGGGAAAGTGTTTCTCATTATAGATCGGCTGCTCTAGGTTCACAGAAATTTAAACAAAACTGACAGGGTTTCCAGCACCCACCAGCCGGCAGGGGTGGCAGCTGCCTGCCCAGCGGGGGCTCCTGTGCAGGCAGACAGAGTCCAGGAGGCTGGCACTGAGGGGGCAGGTGGGAGAGGGCTGCTGGAGCAGAGGGGAGAGAAGGGCAGAGCGGGTGGTGGCAGGCTCCCCTCCACTCATGTCCCAATGCCCACTTCTGAGAGGACCCCTCTCTCTGTGCAGGGAAAAGTTTCGGGGGATCCGGTGACCTCCGCAGGCACCTCCGCACGCACACCGGGGAGAAGCCGTACACGTGTGAGATCTGCGACAAGTGCTTCACCCGCTCGGCCGTGCTGCGGCGGCACCGGCGGATGCACTGCCGCGCGGACGATGGGGGCCGGGACGCGCTGCGGGAGCTCGCCCACGCCTGGACAAGGCTCCCAGCTCCGACTCCTTCTCCCAGGACGTGTCTGTGACTTTGATGCCCGTGTCTGTGAAGCTCCCCATCCATCCAGTGGACGAGCCCGTGACAGAATTTGACGGCCACTCTGCCGGCTCCTTCTGTAAGTTCTGGTCCACGCCTCAGCCACGTGGGGTCGGCAACCCGGAGAAGCTCAGTGCGGATCCTGGCAAACTCGCCAAGGCCCCCGGGCAGCACACGCAGCCTCAGGCCTTCACTTACTCAGCCGCCAACGCCTCCACCAGCAACGGGCCGCTGCCCACGGACAGCATGGCTATAGTCCGCCCGTCTCTGGCCACTCTGGACCATCCCTGCGGCGACCCCCTGGGCAGCTGGGTGTCAGGCGCGGCGTACAGGAACTCAGAGGGGCCCTTCTTTTCCAGCATGACTCTGTGGGGGCTGGCGATGAAGACGCTGCAGAATGAGGGCGAGCTGGACCAGTGATGCCGGCATGCTGATGCCGCTACGCCGACCCCAGTGATACCGATGCTGCGATGCCAACACAGCGCTGCTCAGCTGCGGGTGCGTTTTCCAGGAGGCCGATGTCCAGGAGGAAGCCGTCCCCTGCGACGCCCTCTCGCCAGCCCGACACGTGGGACGGTCCCTCCTGACGTGGCTGGTAACTGAAAGCCTCCTGAGCTTGGGGTTTGGGATGAAAGGCCCTAGCTCACTGTGGAAGCAGGCGCTAGAGTGGGAGCTGGCGTCACAGAAGCCAAGGGCTGGAGAAGCCGTCCACTGACTGACTGGCTGGCATGATGGCGTGTGGACTTGGGGGCAACTACTGTACATTGTGGTTATGCTAAAGGGAAAACACACACACATACACACACACATATATATATATATACACACGTAAAATACAAATTCTTTTGCATTTTTACATGATTGAAATTTATAGCATTTTCTATTTTTATTTACACAGATTTTATTTGTATACTAGAGGCCCGGTGCACAAAAAATGTGCAGGGGAGGTGGGTCCTTCAGCCCGACCTGCACCCACCCTCTCCAATCCGGAACCCCACAGGGGATGTCGGACTGCGTCTCACAATCCGGGACCACTCGCTCCTAACTGCTCACCTTCCTGCCTGCCTGCCTGATCGCCCTTAACCCCTCTGCCTGCCTGCCTGATCGCCCCTAACCACCTTTGCCTGCCTGCCTGCCAGATCACCCCTAACTGCACCCCTACCGGCCTAATCGCCCCAACTGCTCTCCTGCTGGCCAGATTGCTCCTAACCACCTCTGCCTCACCCCACACCCAGGACCCAGGATTCCCTCCTTCAGCCCGTCGCAGGCACCTGCGACCTGGGCTTCCCTCCCTCTGGCCAGCTCGCTGGTGCCCGGGACTGTGGGGCGTGCAGCTTGTCCCTCTCCCAGGCCACGCCACAGGCGTAGGCGCAGCTGCTGGCACCCAGGACCGCAGGGCGGGCGGCTTGTCCCTCTCCGGCCGCAGGCACCCAGGACCGGCTGGCTGTAGGCGTCCGGACCGGCCACAGCCGCAAAGGACCATGGGCCAGGTGGCTTCACCTAGGCGGCACCTGCAGGAGCCCAGGACCGCGGCGTGGGCAGCTTGTCCCTCTCCCGGGCTGCAGCCCCAGCTGCTGGCTTGTCCCTCTTCTGGGCTGCAGCCCGGCTGGTCCCCCTTCCTCTCTCCCCCGTGTTGAGTGTCTGTTGCTGGTCCCCATTCTTCTCTCGTGAGCTCATTTGTGCCTGGCTGGTCCTCATTCCTCTCTCCCGAGTGTTGAGTGTCTGAGCCATGATGGCATGAGGGCATGAGGGTGTGATGACCATTTGCATATTAGCTCTTTATTATATAGGATGAAACTCATACTATAATTTGAATAAATGAAACTTGCCTTGCTATATAATGTGTTTCCTCCAGCATTTTTATTACTCTAAAGACCATAGTAGCAAAATGAAGGGCTCCCCCTTCAAGGACAGGTCCCGGTTCGGCTCGGCCGTCCTGGGACGGTGGGCTTCAGACACCATCAGAACTGAGCCACGTCCTGGCTGCCCCTCGCTGTCAGGCCATGGCGGGCTCTGAGCCTCAGCCTTCTCTCGTTTTCTTTTCTAGTCTGAGATGAGCATCTCTGTTCATCCAAGCGTCCCATGACGCCTCGCCCACAGCCCTGCTGCCCAGGTCGGGGCACTAGTCGACTTCCTAAACACATCCCCCAACCCCCAGCACACCTGCTGCCTGTGTGGGAATGAGTCGTGTCCTGTGATTTCAAAACAGGATCAGCACGTGAAAAGAGTTACCTGCGGCACAAGCAAGGTACTTGCCTGTAAAACTGCACAAAGGACCGGAGTGAAAGCACCCCGATCCTGTCATTTCTCACTCACTCAGAATTACAGGCACCAGTGAGACAGGGAGGCGCGATGTCGTAGAAAAGCACATGGCTGCAGAGGACCGGCTTTGAAATCAGAAAATCAGATTCAGGTTCAACTCCTGGTTTCCCACCAGCCCTTGCACTCAGCCCGGCGAGGCCCGGGCAGCAGACGGAGAGCCCGAGGTCGGGGGGTGGGGGGCACAGTGCCCTGCACAGAGCCCCACAGCCACAAGGTCTCCTGTGAACTTGCCCCTCCTCCCTCCCATCTCCCACTGTGAGTCTGGGAGGTGTGTGGACGCCCCGCTGGGACAGCAAACTGTTGGATGCGTCCTGTGCGACCTCATTTACCTACCCCCTTCCACACAGGGAGGTGGTGCACTGGTACATCTTGGTATTTCCTTCCAGGCGTTGCCTCTCCAATCAGACACAAAGCAGTGCCCCACTGAAACATCTGTCAGGCAGCCCGTACCCTATGCACTTCTTTGCCTTTTCAGGTAGCAAATTCTTATCAACGTCTTTCCTTGTTAAAAAAAAAAAAAAGTGTGTTAACATCAACACCCTGAGTCCCTGCGTACAGTCCGTCGCTCCTTCAGCCGGGGTGTTCGTGAAGGCCCCGCACAGATCAGGGATTGCGGCCAGGGGGCTCCACAAACATGCCCTCTTCTCCATGACCTGACCTGACCGCGAGACCTGGCCCCGCGCGGGCTGCTTGGTGTGGGGTTTCCGTCCAGCCACCAGATGGCGGCACAGCCCTCACAGGGAGCAGAGCCGGGGCCCGGGCACCTGCATTTTCAAAGCTCCTTCCCCGCCTGAGCCCCTCGCGCTCCCCAGGAAGCTGACCAGGTAGCGCTTGCCTTCCCAGCGGAGGACAGGCCTAAGGAAGGGCGTCCCTTGCTCATTCATTTCCCTCCCGAGTGCTGACCACATCCCGGCCTCCAGTGCCCACGCGATGTCCCGGAAAGCATGAGGGGACACCGTGCGCAGGCGGCCCCGGACCCGCCCTCCCTGGTTTCGGACCTGTCTCACCACGGACGCGAGACACCTATGAGCAGGGGCTGCCCGCGCCCACTATTGTGCCCACGGCCCTGCCTCTGTCCGCCCCCTTCACGGAGACAAGAATGAATGCACCAGCACAGCCGGGCACGGGCATGGCGGGCAGAGGCGGGGGAAGGCCGAGGGGAGGAGCTCGCCATGAGGCCCGACTGTGGGAAGCAGTCTCCGTCCTGGGGCCCAGGGGGACCCCCTGTGTAGGAAGTTCTCTATCACGTTTATGAGTTCCGGGGGTTGGGGGTACCAGGTTCCCTAAACAAGGCGCCTGACCCCCAGGAGGGAGAAGGGCAAGTACACGCTTTCTCGCGTCTGCCCTTTGACCCAGCCCGGTGACCCCGGCAGGTCCTGTGGCTTCCCCAGTCACACGGGGACAACACAGCAGGCACCCTTTCCTGGCTGTTGAAGGTCCAGCCGGCGATCAAGGCTGCAATCTGACATCTGATGTGAAGGGCCCCCGGCCCAGTTCCCGTGTGCAGGGTGTGGGCCGAGGTCCCACGTTCCTGCCAGCCCTGCAGGCCTCGGGGCACCCGGCTGCTCCCGGCCTCTGAATGGAGGGGGGTGAGTGCTGAACCAGGGACGGGGGGCAGGGGGAGGCAGGCCTGTCTTTGAAGCTGGTGGAGCTGACTTCTGTTCTCGCCACGGGTGCCCTGGCCGCGGGTGCCCTGGCCACGGCAGACAGCCCACGCCTGCGCTCAATCCGTGGGCACCTGTGTGGGTCCCTGGGGCCTGCCCCACCCACCACCAGAGCTGCCACCGAGCCCCATCAGGCCACCTGCACAGCTGCCTGGGAGGGGCCCTGTGGTCAGCCAGCGAGGCACCGAGACCCTGGCCTGGTCCCGGGACGCCGTTTTGCCACCTTGCACAGCAGGGGGGCCTTGCAGTGTGAGTAATGAGGGATCCAAGTGCGGCAGGGGACCTGTCGGGCCCAGTGGCATCACAGGGGAAGGAGAGGGAGAGGTGAGAACGTGCTTTGGGGAGCAGAGACGAGGCTGCGCCGCGGCAGGCCCAGCCCTGTGACCCCGACACCCACTCCCGGAGGTTCCACGGCGCTGGAGGGGACACGTAGCCAGGGGTGTCCAGAGAACCAACAGGTGCTGCCAGGCGGTGGGACAGGATGGCACACGCCCACCCCACAGGACCAGGGCTGGAGTGAGGTGAGAGGTCGATGCCGGGAGCCGGCGCTGGGTAGCGAGGACCCACATACATGTCAGCTCTACCCGAGCATGAAATGGGCAGGGGAGCCTGCAGGGGGGCAGAGCATCGGGGGGCCAGGTTTTCAGCACGGATTTGCCAGAGGACATGCCAGGCAGCCTGTCACAGGGTGGCAGCTGAGTGACAGCTCCCTCCCTGCTCCCACCCCCTTGGGACCAGGTCCCAGTCCGGGACCCATGCTCACCACCTTCTGTGAGAAAGGGCTTCACAGATGGGGTTACGTGCAAGGTCCTGGGTTGTCCCTGTGGCCTGATGTCCTCACAGAGGTCCCCTGCGAGGGCGACAGGAGGGTGGGGCCCGAGGAGAGGGCAGAGCGGAGACTGGAGGGTGCCCTTCGAAGGTGCGGGTAGGGGCCGCACACCAGGGGCCACACGGCCGGCCCTGCAGTATCTGGCCTCAGCACCTGTGGTGCTTCCGCGGGAGAACAGGAGGAAATACCTCCTAGAATGGGGCAAAGAGCAGAGAGCAGACGGAGCCTGTCCCGCCCACAGCTAGCGTGGGGCCCAAGTAACCTGTGTGACCCTGACCTCCCACCCCCTGCCCCGACGCCACCAGCCGCCCCCTGCCCCGCCACCACCAACCACAAGAATGGAGAACCAGCCCGTGGCCCTGCGGCTGCACCGTTAGAAAGGCTCCCAGAGGCTGTCTTTTAGGTCTGGGGAGAGTGAACAGATCTGCCAGCTCTCTGAGCTCTGGTGGGGGAGTCGGGCCGTGGGACAAGGCAGGGGGGACAGCGTGGTTAGGGGTGAGCTGTGCTGGGTTCAGATCTGTGTTTGATGACTTCCTGCTGCTGTAAGAGGGGCAACAGTGCTGCCCCCCCCCCACCCCGCCCCGGTCCTCCCTTTCCTCCCCCACTCCTGGCTGTGGCGAGGCTGGGCGAGAGGAAGTGCCCTGGGAACGGCGCCTGCGACCTGGTGAACCCCGGCAGATGCAGTCCCCTCCCGACACCGGACATCGGAGGAAGCTGGCTTTCTGGACCCCGAGGGGCCCTGCCGTTAGCAGCGGGGACACTGGGACTCGCTGAGGGTCCTGCTGGCAGTCTCCCAGGCTGGCCACCCCGGGCTCCTGGCTGAAAGGTGATCTGATCCTGAGCGAAAGCTCCTGGGACGGAAGCTGAGAGGCATCCACCGCCAGCGGCCTGGGGAGCAGATAACAGACAGCACGGTCCATCTGGTGGGAAAACAGCAGTGTCTGGTGTCCGAAGTGGAGCAGCCC